TTCTTTTCAATTCGTCTATCTGCTGCTTCAAACCTTCCATTTCTGCACCGACTACTTCCTTTATCATCTTCTTAACTTCATTCTTGCAGGTGATTTCATCCTTGACTGCTTTCACTGTTTTTATCAGCCAGTCAATTTTCATGTCAACCGTTGCTGAGGAACTCATACCTCTGCTTCCCCCAATTGACCCCACTGATGACACTCGATCTCTGCTACTACCTGCTGCCGGCACGGATGTCTTCTGATTTTCTTCTTCAGCATTGAATTTTTCAAAGGGACCACTGCATGCTACCAACTCATGATTCCTGTCAAGTACCTTATGTTTATTCACACATCCAGGGTGGTAAAACAGTTTCACACAAGTCTTACATCGCACTACTTGGCTCTTGATTGGCTTTTTGCAAGTAGAGCACCGATACTTATCGTATTCGCCCGTGCTATCCATCTTGCCCGGTATAGCTGGTAAATTACCGACGCTTACCGACCATAACTATATCACTTTCGACGTATATTATTGATGACTCCGCGGATTGCTAAACTTGTCACCGTGGCAGCAATAATGGCCACCCACGTACATTCGCTATGTGAAAATTTTGACGAAGGAGAAAATGCTGCTATTATCGCTTACCCGATAGCTATCTAGCCATTCGATAGATAAAAATGTTCACCACTTAACATGGATCACATTGCACCATCTTTCACACAATTTCACAGACTTATTCCACTCAATAATTAAGTATTAGGCGGAGCGATCCTCAAGCACGTCTGTCACTCGCAAAGAGAGAGAGAGAGAGAGACTGAGAGAAACTGAGAGAAACTGAGAGAGACTGAGAGAGACTGAGAGAGACAGAGAGACTGAGAGAGACTGAGATTGATTGATTGATATTTTATTAGCCTTCTCGGCTATTTTTGTACATAAATTACATTAATCGAGTACATAATATTTATTTAACTAAAGATACAACATAATCTTTTAACGTTATTTTAAATTGTTCTATTCTCTCGCACTTTTTAACTTCATTTGACAAGATTGTGAGCCACTCATGTATTATTATCATGCATAAATATTTAATAAAAAAGGCCACTATTTGTATAAAAAAATTAGCGGCAGTCGAAAGGTAAAAATTTTCTTCTAGCTTTTCTAACAATATTAATTGTGTTCCGGTTTCAAGTTATGGAATGTATTTTGCCAGTGCGATCTTCGAATTAATAATGAGAGCAGATGCACTTTTTAACTTCATTTGGTAATGCGTTATACATTTGTACTCCTTCGTAATACATACTCTTTTGTGCGTTTCTTGTTCTCCTAAATTGTATAACTATATTTCCAGCTTGTCGTGTTTCTCTACCCCCCTCATTCCTATTATTTGTAGCCTATTCTTTAATTCCTTTAGTAGTAGATTATTGACAGCTTTAAAGATGAATACACATACATTATAATAAAGTCTTTGCCTTATGGACATAAACTGTACCGCTGTCAGCATATCATCCACTTTTGTGTAGCGGCTGCATTGCAGTATGACCCGCATCGCTCTATTCTGCGCGATCTGCAGTTTATTTACTTCGGTTTCACCCATACACATTAGCAGTGTTCCACACTATTCGAAGTGTGGTGCTATGATTATTTTATATATAATACATCTGGTAAACGCCGATACGTAGTGCCCCATTCTGTTTAGGAAACTCGTTTTTTTACCTATTTTTTTCAATATATATTTACAATGGTCTTTAAATTGTAACTTGTCATCAATAATAATACCTAAATATTTCATCGTTTCCACTCGTTCTAGTTCCGTTCCGTCCAGACACTTAAGTACAATATTTCCTTTCATTTCTTTTCTCACACTTTTAACAATCATGTATTTTGTTTTATCTGCGTTCATTTTTAATTTGTTTCTATTCATCCACTTTTCTACTATATTTAATAGATTATTCATTTTCCTTTCCAGTTCTGCGCTGCTTTCTCCTGTCATCAAGAGACTCGGTCGAGTCTCGCGCCAAGTACAGGCAACCGGC